ATACTATACAGAGATGCTGTATGAGAAACCAATGTGATTTTGGAAAATTGCACGATTTAAATCTATTCTAGTAGACCTCAACAATGGAAATATGATTAGCAGAAATGGCCATGACATGGGACCTTTAAGTGAATTGTGATGAAATATTGACATCAATATCCTCCTGAGACGTGGTAACAAATGTTTTAAAGAGACCCCATTATACTTGTTTGGTATTTTCCCTTTGCTGTTGTGTTATGTAGTTTTTTGTGCACGTAAACGGTCTGCAAAGGCTAAAATCCCTGTATTTCCTCCAGAGGGAGTTTCTCTCCCAAAACTGTTATTATATATATTTCCTGCCTCACTCAATGATTTTGTTTCCTGAAATAAAGAATGAGAAGCATGTCCCACTGTGGCCAACAAAGAACATGGGTTAACATGTCTATTTTAAAATGTTTATGTTCTCTTTATGGAGAACATAAACAGTATGTATGAAGACATCATACTCCCTTAATGCCATGACACATGTTTGCTGAATTCCCACGGTTTGAAAAGACAGAAGCGCTGCTCTGTTGGTCCGACGCCCATGTGTGTTGCATCACTAGAAATCCCAGGATGTGTTTTCCACATTACATCAGGACTCAAACAAACTGCACACATGGTGTTTGAAATAAAGGCCTCTGTGTCACATCCCCCAGAGAGGACAGAAATAAACTGCAGGGTCTCAGGAGGAAATTTGCACTGTCCCATTTCCCAATACAATCCTGCTGTCCTTACATGACTCTCCTCGTGTTTACCAGTGTGCACGATACAAACAGACACCCTTAAATCCCATCAGTCACCCTGAATTTACATACTCACCATCAGCCTCCAAAGATGAGATGTGAACAACGCACTGCTGGCAGCTAGAAAGGAGTTACCTTGGATAAATTCTCTTTAGCACACCGCTGCACCTGTGACATACAAATAATTTGCTCCTCATAGATTTACATTGCACGAAACAATAGCATCTGTGGCGCTGGGTGACAGCTTATCTGCCCCCGCTGAAACAGCAACAACATGCTCTGTCTCAGAGGTAATCTTTGATCAGCTGAAACGCTTTCTGTGATAAACATTGACTCGATCCCCATGGGCAATCACTCTATAGTGCTGGCATCATGGGAGGTAATGTATGCATAGACGTGTTGAATTCGCCTCGGGCCCACACACACACACACACACACACACACACACACACACACACACACACACACACACACACACACACACACACACACACACACACACACACACACACACACACACACACACACACACACACACACACACACACACACACACACAGTGAGATGAATTGCCACACCGCCTAGAATAAATACATATCAGCTACAGTGAGCTTGGTTGCTCTTGCTCTTTCCTATTAATCCTCAGCACGGTGATTTATTGCAGTGTGCTTGTCAACGGCCATATAGTCCCTAAGAAGTGTGGCCGGCCTAAAGAAATAGCAGAATTTAAGACTAAAGCCCTGCTGCAGTCTGTGTGTATTCTGAAGGTGAATATATAGCTCAGCAACATGTTCGTGCAGATAGGAATGAGACTGTAAAATAATCTATTTGTCATAATCCAACTTTTAAATCGATTCAGTGGGTTTGCATCCGCCAAGGTGAAAGGCCTGGATGTATTGAGTGAATGCATTAAAGGGCACGTTCTTTTTAAACAGCGTTTGCATGGCGGTGCACGCTCAGCTGCTAGTGTAAACTCATCCATTTCATTAATAAGACTTCCACTGAAAAACCAACTAACAGAGCAGCAGTGAGTCTTATTAAACAGCACCATCTAGTGGAGGATTTATTCTGAAGTCCTAACACCTGTTTTTAACATTTCTTACCACAAAAACTACAACTCCCAGCTTTCCAGAATGATACTTTGCTCTCTCCAAAAATAAAAGTACATACTCAACCATTTTTCTAGATGTACCTTTTTCAATCGGCAAAATAAATCTGAGAGCTACATACACTAATTGAAGTACCAAGATGGACTTACACTTTGTAGGTTTTGGTATTTTCTTGGGATTTCATTTGTTGACACTAACAACACAGATCACAAGCCTTGTTTACCTAGGACACTTTTTAATTCCTCCCGAAAAGGACTTTCGTGAGACAATTTAATTGATAAAACAATCCCTACTAAAGGTCCATTTAGCAGCAGTTCTGGAGCTTTGAAGGTCCCATGTCATGGCCATTTCTACTGATCATAATTCCATTGTTGAGGTCTACTAGAATAGATTTATATTGTGCAATTTTCCAAACTCACATTGGTTTCTCATACAGCATCTCTGTAAAGTATGTGTATTCACTCAGTCCTAAACGCCTTGTTGGAGCTCCTGCCCTCCCCTCCCTGTGAGCCCAGTGTGCTCTGATTGGTCGGGACGTTGCGAGGCTCGCTGCTCAGTGAGCTGGCTTACTGGTGTGGTTTCCGGGTCGTCGATACAGCGCGAAACTCATCCTGAGCACACACAAACACTCACAGCCGAAGTAAAAACAATAAGTGTGGCTTGATATCGAGTAAGAAGAAGGTTTATAACGCTGTGAGAATGGGTCAGCGGAGAGCATTTCTCCGCCATCCCAACTCGTCTATTACCAGCGTTCAGGGAGCTCTATGCAAGTCAATGGGGGACTCCCTGTTAGTTGAAAATGTACGCTAAAGGTCCCCCCACTGCGTTTGATAGAGACACCAAGGGATCCTGGTTTGTGAGGAGCTCCGCGGATTGGTCCATTTTGGTTCCCGGAAGGAACAAATGGAAAAAGAGAAATGTCCAACGAGGCGTTCTGGGGCAGCATAGACAGGTCTTTTCTGTTTTAGAGTTTTACTCGCTACAGGGTGTTCTTTGAGGCTTTGTGACTCTGCAGACCGTTTACATGCATAAAAACATTCATAACGCACAAGGGGACGGGTAATAACCGGAAAAGCATGACATGGGACCTTTAAATTACCTACGAAGCGAGTTAAATTATTTGCTGTTTACAAGGCCAAGATTGAGCTTTGAACTAAACTTTTTAAACAAACATGGAAGAAAAGTATTACACGTTCTCAGAAAATCTCAAATTAAATGGCAGACTGTAGACTTAATGCAGCAATACATAGAAAGTAATACTTAAAAGCTTCTAAAATGGACCTAGAAGTGAGATTATTTCGTTGACTGCCATTTCAAAAATGGAGAATGAACTTTGAACCTCAAGCTTTTCATTGTATTCCGACTCTTTTTATTGAGAATTTGACACAGTTAACATACCCAACTTAGAAAAACAGGAACAGAGCACCTTATTTTCACACCGTGGACACCAAGGACACTTTGACTTGAAACAAGGCCACTCCACTTAAAATAGAATTGTCCGAGAGAAGAAGACAGCGGCTTTCTTTGAGGTTTCTTTGAGGACGTTCAGGGAGGAAACACAGACGCCAAACTAAAAGCTCTACAGATCTCACTGACCCCGTCATGTGTTGGGTTTCACAGATGGTAAAGGAAATGACTGCAGCTATGAATGAATGCTGATTTACATTTAGGAGACAGCTTATTAATTTTAGCTTTTTTCTTAGAGAAGCACAGATTGCAGTTTTATTGGCAAACTCAAATAATTTAAAATGCAGATTTTCTTTCTATTATTGAAAGCATAACACAACTTTTCTTTGGCAAAAGATACAAAATAAATGTTTAAAACATAAAAACATGCTATTAAAAAGCTTACAATTTCTCTAAAATTGAATCAAAGTGACAGGACCTTGTTGATGTAAATACTGTACATTGTTTTTAAGGGTCAATTTTCTTGCAGGTGGTACAAATGGCAAGAGTAATGTTTTTTGCACTCACACTGAAACACTTCAACGACATAATGTGTGTGTGAAGTGACGCTGTGTACTCAACGTAAAGCCATATTAGCCTTTCTTGTTTTCCACTATCCTTATTGTAATAACACTGCAATGACAGAATTATAAGGGTGCTTAACCAATAAACCTAGTCTAAATCGGTGAATTCTGCTACACAGTCTTGACCAACAAAAGAGCTAGACACACATTTTAAATGAAATATCTTTCATTTAACACACTTCCCTGATCTGTGAAAGAATCCTTTGGCTAATTTCCCATATTTGTTGTGAAAGAGTGGAGAGAGAGAGAGCGTCCATACCATTACTGGAAATATAACACTGGAGTTCATTGTTCGGGTTTACAGCTAGATGGCGCTCTGATGCTGCTTTTACAATAAAAAGCCCTCCCCCTCCTCCTCACCCCTCCTCCTCACCCCTCCCAAACAAACCCATCTAGCCGTTTCTTCTCCACCTCCTTATTTTACCCAGTCTCTCTCTGTCACCATCCCTCTTGTTCACCTCCACACCCCCTTCCTCATCTCCTCTCTCTCTACACATCTCTCATCTGTCTCTCTCTCTCTCTCTCCTCTCTCTCCCCCATTACGTCTCCTCTCTGTCTTCACTGCGCTGCCACGGCCTGTGTCTCCCCCCCGGAGGTGGTCAGCTGCATCAGGCTGCCTGAAGCCGGACGGTCCACTCCTGTGGCCCAGCTGAAGAACATTCTGGAGGGAAACCGAGAAGGGAAACATTATTAGTGAGCAATAAAGCTGGGTATCATTTAAAAAAGTATATTCTCTGTACTCTTCCAATGTCAGAGTAGCACATGATAACAAAGGCCCAACTGTAGCTGTGTACGCAACAGGATGTATGAGAAGAGCATCAGGTGACACTGTTTTAGGCATATGATAGCTGTGGGACAACGATTAACATGATGATTCAGCCTCTAAGGAGTTAGACGTATGACAAGCATGCTCATTTCTGACGTGGAGCTAATCTGAAGTAAACATTGAATACTGCTTCATATCCCTCCACCTTGTGACTGGATAACTCCCTCTCTTGGATATCAGCATGTGAAGGACACTGTTCAGGAACTATTTGATGCTTTGTATGTGATGACTACTTCCATTCTTAAAAGGATCAGAAATACATGTATCCTGAATATTGAAGCTCAAGCCAGTGACGAGTGATATTTTCCTAACATTATCAAAACTCCTAACCATTATATTACACAAATAAAAAGTATATACAGGATATTAAAATACTTACAGTATGTATGTACTTGTGTTTTACCTTGCTCAACTCTACCAGACCTCTGATAAAACTGTAACCATAAAGTGCAATTGTTGTTCTTAAATTTGATATCATAAATAAGTTGTCCCTTTTCTTATTTTTGAATGAGCGATTAGGGAAAAAGTGTGTATTTGTTTGCAATCTTGGCCAGGTATTGCTCAAAAGAGATTTTATTTTCAAGGAAAGTAAAATAGATCAAATTCAATAACATACAATAGAGTGTGTTTCCAAAGCAATAATGTATACTACTGTAGATATAAACATCTTCAGGTTTTATGAATGAAGATTGGCATTTATTTGTATTTTAGGGGGGGAAATGGACAATGAAGCACTATGTCCCTTAATTTCCTGTCAGCAGCCGTTTCTAT